AGCATTACCAGCTGCATTCCAGCCCAGGTGAACAGCATTACCAGCTGCATTACCAGCCCAGGTGAACAGCATTACCAGCTGCATTCCAGCCCAGGGCTGCTTACGTGAAACGGAAACATAAGTTAGCGCCCTATCGCTCAAGTTGTCAAGCCTCTAAGCCAAACGAGCTCCAGACAGAGAACAGCGAACCAGAGAGCTTGCAGGCCCACACTGAGGTTCACTCACAGCCCAGCAGCAGCTTCATATAGGCCTTGGCGAGTCAGAACGTTCTTAGACGCCATTTCCTTAGTTCACAGGATGAGGGGGCCCGGGTGATTGTAAGCTCCTTTCCCACAACTGGCTTAAGCAGCTATACTTTCTGTTCTTTTTATTTGGTAGGTTTTTTTTGTTTTTTTAAAATGTGTGTGTGTGTGTGTGGTACTGAGGATTGAACTCAGGACCCTGCGCTGCCAGGCAAGTGCTTATTCTACTGAACTACCTCCCCAGGGTCTGCTAGTCTTGCTAGGCAGCAGCTCAGACTCATAGTGATCCTCCTGTTTCAGCCTCCCCAGTGCTGTGACGACAGGCATGTGCCACCATGCCCTGTTTCAGTGGCTGGCATAGTGTGCCCAGGGTTCCAGGGCCAGCATGGCATGTGGTACTAGAGATGGAACCTGGGGCCCTGCGCTTGCCAGGCAGGCGCTTTGACTTCCCAACTATCTCCCCAGCCCCACACTTTCTATTCTTTAACATTAAGTAACTGCTTTTCCTCTGCCCACATCCTCCCTGGGCCACTCCGCCTCTGCCCCCTGCCCTCCTTAACACCTTGCTCTAGCTGCTGCTGTGTGGCCTTGTTAGTTCATCCCTAGGGTTATCAGTATCCACACCGAAAATGTTAGAAAAATCTTTTCTCTTAGGGTTTCAACAGGAGACTTCACCTTTCCTATTCTGATAGAAATTTATTTTATAAGATAGCTTGAAATAAAGAGGCAATCACCTACAGCACAGACATCTAACAATGCAGGATGAATTAAATTTTGGACCTGAATTTCACTGGTCAGTCTTTCCCATCCCCATGGGATTCAGGGTACCACTGAACTGTCAAGACGTGACAAGGGCCAGGGAGATAGCCAAGTGGCATAAGTGCCTGCTTGGTACGCACAAGGTCTTGACTTCCGTCCCTGGTACCAAAAGGTATGATAGACATCTGAGAATAATGTTCAGGTTCACCATGGAGGGGAATCAAGAAAACATACTCAGGGCCAACAGAAGTGATTTTATTTATAAAATAACTAAAATATAAACATCTCTAAATATAAACACTCTTCATAAGAGAACTTTCATCACTGCCACGGCAGCCGGCAGGGACACAGGGGAGGGTCTACAGGTGTCTCCTGGGTCACCAGGATCTTAAGGCCAAATGTGCACCCCGAGAAGCAGGGGCTGCAAGATTGTTAATTCCTCAAAAAGACAAATTTCAGAGTTACCCACTGTAAAATAGGCTTTATAGCTTCTGAAGATCTTAAACATAGGAGCCCCGCTAAAACCAAATTTTCAGAGGCAGATTGTGAGGGGTTTGCAAATAACTTCCTGTGACCTGTGAGGAGTTATCAGGCACTTTATATCTGTTTGGCTTTGAAAACCGCCCCTGAAGCATGGTGGTTAGTGGTGAATCTGAAAATCTTATTTCCTAGTCTAGGAGAAGCTATTTCTGGGACTGCTTAACTTAACTCCAGTAAGTCACATGGGTCATATTGTCTGCATTTGTAGATGTGTCTAAATAGCAGTAGTGTGAAGGAGCAAGGTACAGTCCTTGAATAGGCTTAACTGGTTAGGGATCAGGAAGAACTAGTACTCGTAGTGGAAGCCGGAGCTCTGATCCTGGTACTCTAGGAAAACCTGTCCATTACTGAGCATGGGGTCAGGAGACATCACACAGACTGTGTAAAGCAGTGACTGTCAGAAAGGTCAGATGAAGGGCTGGTGGGAAAGCTCAGCAGATTAAGCACCTGCTCAGGCAAGTGCAGGGACTGGGGTTCAATCCCTGGCACCACATGCCACACTGGCCCTGCCCCTGGGCGCACTGAGCCTGCCAATGAGACCAAGTGTGCTGGTGCAGGCCAGTAATCCCAGAGCTGGGGAGACTGAAAACAGGAGGATCACTATGAGTCCAAACTGTACCAAATACATTTAAAAAATAATAAAATAAAATAAAGGGCAGATGACTATCTCTAAAAGGAAAGAGAATCCTTCAGATAAAAGGTCAAAAGAAAATAAAAACCCTAGCTACTTCTTAGAAGAAAGCTTCTTAGAAACTTCTTGGAAGAAGCTTCTTAGAAGAAGAAAGGAGAAAATAGAATTTTGTATAGCCAATCAAGGAATAAAGTGAAATGAAAAAAATGAATATTTTAGGAACTTTAGAAATTAGGTGTGGGAAAAGAAAAGTGTGTGGGACAATAGAGGTATCTCAGAAGCTCCGAAACGCAAGGCTTCATGCCATCCTAGCAAATTCTTTGCCACATGCCAAAATGTGACCTGCCCCATCCAAGTCAGTTTCTGATCAGCTGACCAGGAGCACGGGGCCACCCCAGCCTCAGTATGGAACAAACGGCGCTAGCCCAGCTCTCTGCAGACACAGAACACTGGCGCTCTGAGCGGAAATTTCTCACTTCCAAAGGCTGACCCAGCCCTGGCCTTTCGCCCCGTGGTCACTAAATCATTTGCAAGTCCCAGGGTCCACTTCAAATTCTAGAAACTCTAGGAAGCCTCAAGATTTATAATTGGAGAGAACACAACTTGTCTTACTCTCCACCAGTCACGTTAAGCAGCGCAGCAGGGCCTGCGTCTTCACACCAGGCGCTGGTCGGCGGCCCACCAGAACCTTTCAGCAGACGGAAAGCAAAGGCGGCACTAAGGTCGAGTGGAAGGCACCACAGGCTCAGGTATACTCAGTTTTGCGGATATAACTGGATGGGACGTAGCCCTTCTTCCCATTAACTTCAGCCAACCACCACTCCGCATTGCCAGTAACATCTTTAAACTCAAGGATCTTGAGTCTCTGATTGGCTGACACACTCAGCTCATTTGGGTTTCGTGCTCTGAAGGTATAAACAGCAAAATATACCTGTGTGGGGGAGAGAGGGAGAGTTAGGAAACCTCCTGGAGCAGCGCTGGCCGACAAAACTCTCTGTCCTGACACGAATGCTCTACGTTCGGACTGCAGCTGAGCCCTGGAATACAGCCAGTGAGCTGAGAACCGCAACTGTGATCTTCTTTTTCGCTAAAGTTGCCAGAGCTGTATGTGGCTGGAGGACCCACAGTGAACAGGACAGGCGCAAAGAAAACCAGATTTCCAGGCTTTTAATTCTTTCAAAAATGCCTGGAAGGCTCAGTCAATATGGCAGATAACTGACCTATGAGGGCACCCTCCTGTTCCCAAATTCTACATCCCATCTGGAAAATTACAGCTGCCGGTGGCTGGGTAGCTCGGTGGCAGAAGGCTTACCTAGACAAACCCAGGGTTCAGGGAAGAGGGAAGAATGGGGGGACGAGGGAGGGCAGGGAAGGAAGGAGGGAAGGAGAGTCACAATTGAGGTTTTTGTTTTTTTTTAAATTTATTTATTGTGTGTGTGTGTGTGTGTGTGTGTGTGTGTGTGTGTGGCCAGCTCACCCACCAGGGGGTGGGGCTGGCTGGCATGTGGTGCTGGGGGATTGAACCGCGGTCCCTGTGATTTGCTAAGCTTGTTCTAAGTAGGTGCTTTAGACCACTGAGCCATCTCACCAGCCCCACAACTGAGTTTTTAAAACCCCTAAATAATAATTAATTTCAAAGCAAGAAATGAGGATCTAGGTGTCACAAATGAAGATGCAAAGCGAGGGTGGTGCTGAGTGACAGCAGAGCCGTGAGGGGTCTGGAGCAGCCCCTGAAGGGCCAGACACACAGGTGATGCCTAGAGCGTTAAGACTTGGAGTTCATGAGGATAAAATGAGCTTCCTATCCCACATCAGAATCTAGGAAAGGCCCATTTGCTTTGTCCACACGTCTAGTAAAACTGTTAGGGGTCTGGAACTGGGAAACCTGCCCCGTCACGGGGCACATGCCACCGCAAGGAAGAAGGGAGCATGCCCAGCTGTGGCGCTGCGGAGTGTGCTGTGCAAGTCTGAGCTGAGAAAGTAGTGAGAAGCTACTGGAAGTCAGAGACCAGCAAAGCAGCACCTCGACAGCCCAGGACGTGACGGGGCCTCTCTCGGCAAAGGCAGCTCCTGCCGAAGGTGACCTCACAGTCATGCTGCAGAATGAAATGAGCGCTGGCAACAAAGAGGGGAGCAGACTCCCTCAGCAGTGATTCTGAAAATGACTTCAAAATACATGGTTTAAACTGCGTGTGACAGAGGCTGACTGCAATCCCAGATACCTGGGGGTTGAGGCAGGAGGCTGGAAAGCCTGAGAGCAACCCAGCAGCTTGCTGGGAAAACAGTGAGGACGGCGGCTGTGGAGGGAGCTCTGTGACAGGCCCCGGGCTCAACCCCAGCATCACAAAGCTAGCAAAAGAGGTGGGTTCAAAATGTGCAAGATGTATAGGCTATACTTGATCCACAAGGCAGGATCAGACCATTCAAAAAAGAACAGGAACCTGAAGTAGCACCAAACTTTCATCTCTAAATGCCAGCAGGTATCTGTCATCTGAGGCAGTGGCCTGGGAAGGAGACAGGGCACTTCTGTGGAATGTCACGCCTTTCTTTGACATGAAGAAAAGCCTCGACATTCATTTAGATGGTCATATGATGCTCCAAAGCGCTGAACAGCCCTACAAAATAGCTTCTCGATGCCATGCTTTTGAAAAAGAATGGCTAGAGTGTGCACATGGAGCTGTGCTACCCGGGTGAATGAAGAATGCAAGCTAGAACAGGATGATTCGGTAGTGTTTGCTTCAGCAGAAAACGCTACACGCATGAGTACCATCAGGAGGCAGCGGGAAAAGCTAACAAAGCAAGGGACGCGCACCCCTCCACCTCACTTGGGCTAGGACGAGCCAGGCCCTGAGCAGGGCAGCTGCCAGTGGCTGGAGGCTGACCTTCATCCTATTTTCCACTGCAAGGGTTAGTGACAACCTTTGTGAAATGTGTAAAAATTAAGGAATATTACATCCTAAAAAGGAAAAAAAGAAAAGAAATAAAAATATAGATATCTAAATAAAAAACTAAGGGCCTGCCTAATAGCTCAGAGGACTAAAGTGCCCACTTAGGTAGAATGCAGTGTCGGGGGCTCGATCTCTGGTGTGGCATGCCGGCCTCGTCCATGGGGCGAGCTGAGACAGCGATTGAGACCGGGTGTGGTGGCGTGCACCTGTAATCCCTGCACTTGGGAGGCTGTAAACAGGAGAATCACTACAAGTCCGATCTACTTAGTGAGATCCTGAACACCCTATAGACCCAGCCCTAAATACAGGAAAAAAACCAAAGCTAAATAGGTGGATTAAATAACACAGTGAACTGGAGGAGCAGAAAAGTTTCCTCATCATATCTCTGACTAAGTAGAGCATGTCCCTGATATCCTGGGAAGACTCGTCCCGGGAGGTGCAGAGCCGCGCACGCACGGGGACAGCAAGCACTTTCCTCCTCGCGCTCCGCTCCAGGCAATGCGCCCTCACACACCTCCTGCTGCTCTGGGCCCCCAGGCTGAGCCAGGAGGGCACTCACCTGGCTGCCTTCTGCCTCGCTGCTTTCTGGTTCTTCATATTTGTCCTCCAGAGCCTGGGCTGCTGTTGCGCAACCTTTCGTGAGGTCTTTACCGTGCCCATTTCGCCCTGGTCCGGAGTGACCAACCTCCGGATGCCTGGAGCTTCGGGAGCAGCCCCTTACACTGGCTGCATCGACAGAGTCCCCAGAAGGTCCACTCTCGGGGCTACCCAGGTTCAAGGATGTACCAAGAGTTCCTTGGTCACACTCTTTCAAGGAAGGTGCATCTTGAGGCTGCTTTGGACAAGAAGCTGAGGTAAAGGACACAGCCATGCTGCTGGGGTTGAAGGTCAAGGCGCTGCTGCTGTTCTGCCGAAGGAACCGGGGGGAGGGGCTGCTGTGCTCTGACTCAGTGGAGGAGTGGCTGCCCACAGAGGCATCCGAGTGGCTGTGGCGTGGATTGTAGGGCTTTAGGAAGGAGCTGTACACGAAGCCTTTGGTAACTGCGGAGAGAGACATTGACATCAAGAGCTTATAGCACAAGGGGGAGAAGTGAAAGACAGAATCAACAGAATAACCATGGTTTAAAAACTAGATCAATGGGGCTGGTGAGCTGGCTCAGTGGTCTAAAGCACCTACTTAGAACAAGCTCAGCAAAGCACAGGGACCGCGGTTCAATCCCCCAGCACCACATGCCAGCCAGCCCCGCCCCCTGGTGGGTGAGCTGGCCACACACACACACACACACAAAAAAAAAAAAAAAATAAATAAATATTAAAAAAAAAAAGCTAGATCAATGGCGAGAGACAAACTGATACTTGTTTGGAAATGAGCATACGCAGAAAACTTAATAGGATGTCTCGACACTGGCTAAGAAGAAACTCAGCCAAGTATAGGTTCAAACATACTTCCCGTGGCAAAGGGAGAGGTGAAGACCCCTTGTGTGAGGAAGCTCCTGGGACAGGCAGCCTCCCTCCCTCTCTCCCGCCCGCCCCTCTGCAGCTCCACAGCCCTCTGGTTAGAAGCCGGGGCACGGTGAGCATCCCAGTGCGGAAAGCTGCCACAGGACTTCCAGCAGACACGGCACATACAGCACACGCTCCCTCACACAAACTCCTCAGACGATGACAGGAGGCCCTCAGGGACAGCTTCAACTACAATTAGAAGCTGAGATGCTCTCCTGGGACATTGCTTGTATTACCTGAAAACAAATCTGCGCAAGGATAAACCCTGATTATACAGCCTCCACGAGAACGACTTCATGTTAAGTTTAATGTTACATTAGTCTTATGGCATCTATTTTTCAAGGTCTCCAGGATGGAGAAAAGAGTGTAGTGTCATGTTTATAGGAAAAGGCTTGGATTTGAGTGTCTACGTCTTTTTCATTTTTGAAATTTTACCGTTTTAATATATAGTAACTATGAATATTTATGAAAGTATATGACAATTCATGCTTACAACATGTAGAATTGAATCAGGATAGTTAGTATTTCCACCTTGTTATCTTTTTCTTTTTATGTTTGGAGCTTTCAGCCTCTTCTAGCTCTGATACAATATATCAGGCTATTCTACCACGCTGCAGAACCTAGCATTTACTCTAATTATATTTAGGTACCTGTTATCCAACCTCATTCTTGCTTGACCTTTGATGCACTTCTGGTTTCTGACACAAATGCTGGCTTGCAGGAGGACCCTCCCTCAGTATCTGAGCAAATGCACAGGAGGCCCCGGGCACACTGAGGGGTACGGGTCCTAACAGCTGAGCCCAGTACTGTGGGCTTCCTGCTACCACTTCACTTGAGAAAATAAAAGTCCTGAAGACTAGAACCTCCTTACACAGCTTGGAATTGTATGAAGCTCAGTTTGATCCTATCAGCGAGTGCCACCTGCCTGCCTCCCTGATGGGATCTTTCCAGTTATAGTCTTTATTACTTAAAAGAAGCAGAAGTAAGGAAAGAAGAAAATATAACAAAAAACCAAATGCTTTTAAGGAACTAAAAACAGTGCTAATTTTCAGTTCCAGTTGGTGTCTACACAGATGTTTATTGTATACTCCCCAAATACTTACCTAAAACACTTAGGCCAGATATGTTTGGGGATTTTTTTTCTTTTTCTGGGTCAGCATGCCATAATTAAACCTCAGACTGGAAAATGCATGAGTATTCACACCAAAAAAAGGTAAGCTATGATACAAATGGTGTCATATCTTTTGTTCAAATTTGAGTCAAAAGAGCTGAAAATTTTTTTTACCAACACCTTTTGGATTTTGGAATTATAGAAAAAAAAAGAATATAGATTAGTATTATTATTATTTTTTTGGGGGGGGGACTGAAAAGGTTAAGTTGTTTTTTTTTTTTTTTTGCGGAACCAGGGATTGAACTCAGGCACTTGGGCTTGCCAGGGAAGCGCTTATTCCACTGAGCCATCTCCCCGGCCCGATTAGTATTATTTTTTGTACTTTCCTTTAAATTCTGCAAGTCACACCTACTCTAGAAGCTGTGAGCTGCTTTTGAAGACATTCCCTAAATACTTGTGAAGTAAAATAGTTTGATACAGGAGGAAAAATAATATAAACAAAAACTAAATTTTAAAATTCACACATGTACAAGACAAGTTTATAAAAACTAGAGGGCAAGCTTATTTTGGAGCTTACTCAGAATGGGTTGAAAAGAAACAGGATTCCATTAGCAGTATTTACTGCCTGGATAAGCTATAAAACACGGCAAGATCCTAACAAGATAAGTAATGGAATCTTCTCTGGAATTTGTCAAATAGAAACACAACCAAAGGAAAAAAGAAAACCACTATCCCAGTGGGCTTTGTTTCCATAACGACCCGGGCATAACGCCCTCTGAAGATGGACAGGACTTTTAGGGTTCTCTTCCCTTGAACCGAAGGCTCTCAGGCCCTTTCCTGGCCTGGGCAGGGCACAGATGCCGCCCAGCCGGCCCTCTTTCCTCACTCCCAGCCCCCGTCCTCTGGCGGCTAAGACTCACCTCCATTGTCAATCAGCCAGCGGTTCGGGCTGCCCATGGGGTCCTTCTTTTTGATCACGCCCACCAGGTCACCTTCTAACAGGGACACATCCAAGTCCTGAGCAGCATTGAAGTTCCGTTCTGCTTGGAAGAGTTTATCAGGGGGATACCGCGCCAGGAGCGAAGCGCGCAGCTCTTCGGACTGCAGCATGTAACCTGGCTGAAAGGTGACACACAAAGCACCATCAGGACCCACCGCGCCGGTACCCGCAGCCCAGGGTAGGCCACACGCGCTTCCCCTTGGCCCCATCAGAGCCCCAGTGGTGAGGCACTGCCAGCCACTCCCTGCCCCTCAGAGGCCTTGGGGAGTTGCTCTGTCTAGCGAGGTAAAAATCACGGAACCTCAGCAATGTGCATTCATAGCTAAAATGACACGACACGTATTTGTGACACCATTGGACAAAAATGCTACCTAAAGAATCCAACAACTGGGGCTGGGTAGGGCATGTGCACGGGCCCTGGGTTTAATTCCTGGTATCAAAATCTTAAACAAATAAAAACATCTAAGTAACATTGCTAAATAGTGTTTGTCTTTTGTGGGGGTAGGGTGGGGGTGGTCCTGGGGTCTGAAGCAGTTTTTCCACTGAGCTATAGCCCCAGCCCAGTATTTTTTTATTTCAGACTGGATCTCCCTAAATTGTCCAGGCGAGGCTCACGCACGTGATCTCCCTGCTCAGCCTACCAGACCACTGTGAGTACGGGATACGCCGCGCGGCACTCAGCTCACGAGATCCTATGTTTTGCTACACAAACCTAAACTTTTTCTATCCTTACTTCCTGATTTATAAAAAGATGGTATTCATAAAAATAAGAAAAAGATAATTTCAGCATTTCTTTTTGAGGTACTACAAATGTGTATGGGATTATATGGACCAAAATAAGCAAAGGCATATTAGTAATTTTTTAGATTATGAGCCCAATACTCTGTTGTACCCTGATTTTTAAAGTATAGAAAGATTGACCGGGTATAGAGGAGCGTTATGAGTTCAAGGCCAGCCTGGGCTACAAAATGACTCTACGGCCAATCTGGACTATATAGTGAAACTCTGTCTCAAAGAAAAAAAAGTATGGAAGAAATAATTCCAGATTTTTTCCCCACATTTCAAAACACATTTATGGGGTGGCCAAACAGCTCAGTGGATTAAAGCGCCTGCTTAGGCAGATGTAGGGGCATGGGATTTGATCCCTGGCGAGTCGTGTCAGCCCCACCTCCCAGCTCTTGGGAGGCTGAACACAGGCAGATCACTGAGTCTGCTCTACGTAGGGAGACCCTGTAGACCCTATACTAAAATACAAACAAACAAAAAAATAAAAAAAAAACCCAAACATTTATTTTTAGAGGTAGGTCAACATGTTATTTCAGATTAAGCAGTTTCAACTTTTGTCTTAGAGTGGGGGTGGGGTAAAGGAAGTTTGGGATTACTGGTATTATAGCTTTTTTTTTTTTTTTCCATTTATGTATTTAGTACAGGGTCTCACTATGTAGCTCAGACTCACAGTGATCCTCCTGTTTTCAGCCTCTCCAGCACTGGGATTACAGGTGTGCGCCACCACCCCTAGAGTCCTCTGCTGGCTCAGGCAGGGACCAGTGAGGCATGCAGTACTCGGGGTCAAATCCTGGTCTCCGAGCTTGCCAAAGCAGGCCCTTAGTCTGCTGAGCTATCTCACTGGCCCTGGCATTAGATACTTTCTTTTTTAAAAAAAAATAGTTTTACTGTTTACTTAAAACATAAATAGGAAAATATAGACATTTGCCATACCAATAAATGGTTTAAACTTTCTTTTAAAGAAATGTTATTTGAAAAGAGAGCTCTGGGCCAGCCAAATAGCTCAGTGGATTAAAGCGCCTACAAGCAGGTGCAGGGGCCGGGGGTTCAATACTGGGGCCTGCAGTGCCAGCCCCGCCCAGGGCGCACTGAGATGGCAATTGAGACTGGGCAAGGTGGTGAGCCTGTAATCCCAGAACTTGGGAGGCTGTAAACAGGAAAATCACTACAAGTCTCACCTAGTAGTGAGACCCTGAACACCCTGTAGACCCTTCCCTAAAAATACACACACAAAAAACCAATAATAATAAATAATAATAAAAAGAGAGTTCTAAGAAATTTAATACAATTCTGAACAATGATTGTTTCTGAAATGGATGAGATGTGAAGCACAATTTTTTAAAAAAATGTGTTTAGTACAGGGTCTGCAGGGTCTCACTACATAGATCAGACTCGTAGTGATTCTCTTGTTTTCAGCCTCCCAAGTGCTGGGACGATGGCACGCACCACCATGCCCAGTCTCAATCACTGTCTCAGCACACTCTGGGAGCAGGGCTGCAAGCAGGGGATGCCTTGGCTGCTGCGCTCTGCTTTAGCACTTTAGCCCACAGAGCTATCTGGCCAGTCCAATGAGCTATCTGGCTGGCCCTGCGAAGCACAATTATAAAGAGGCTAAAATCCAAAAGGATTTATTCTCGGTTTTTCTTTAAAAAAAAAAAAAATCCGACAACTTGTCACATCAAGAAAGTGTGTACAGTTGCAACAGATGCAGGCTTACTTGCCCTTGGAGTCATGGTCTCTCTGCCACATGGGGACAGAGCAACACATGGAGGACAGCAGCACGTCTTCAACGGGCTTCTTGGGGGTGTCATCCAGGTCTGTCTTGATTGCTCCAGATTTGGACAGTTTTCACTCCAACTCATCTCTTGTCAGGTTCATGTTCCCAAATCCCAGAGGACTGATGAACTGAGCCTTTACGACATCTTCAAGGTAGATGAACACTGTGGGCAGGTTCTGATCGGGGTAGTTGGGTATGCAGGTTGGTGAAATGTCCTTGGTAAACTTGACATCAGGAAACTTCCTGGCCAGTCTGCTAAAGTGCTGACTGACCAGGGCACAGAGGGGAATCCCTTGCTTATAAAGGTGCAAGACCACCCACAAGCCCTCACAGGCTCTGGTAACGTCCTGAACATTGTCCTTTCTGGAGATCTCTAAAACCTCTCCAATTTATTCTTCAGTTGAGCCGCTTTCCACTCAGCCAGTCTTTGCTGCCTGCACATCTCAACAACCTGTTCATCTTCCTCACTGAATTCATCTTCATTATCCTCTAGTTCTTCCAAAGTCATATCTTCATATCTTTTCATGACTGACTGCTGCAGGTCCCTCTGTTCCTCCTCTTCTGCCTTCTTTTCTAGTTCTTTCAGGTTTTCCTTGGAGGGCAGGATGCCCTTTTTGCATAAGATGTCATTCCATTCAGTATCTTCATTAGGGTGCTGCATCTTGGCCTTCAGTCGCTCGAGCCAGCCCCGCTCTGGCATTAGATTTTAATAACATCTTTGATAGAGCTGTGGTACCTTCTTCATTACCTCAGAACCTTATTTGGAAGTACTGGGCTTAGGGTCTGTGAACCGCCTTGTGCCATTTGAGGCCCTGTTCTGCCATTTGCTGGCTGTGCAACAGCAGGCAGACCATTTCCCTCCTTTTTCTCTTCCGAAAATGTGGTCATCTGGAGAGTGTGCACCATCAAGGACACTTTCACACTGAAATAAAGTCATGAGCTTAACACTGTTTGAATGTGGATCTAGGTCTGTAAGACTTTTCCAGTGAACTCAGCCCTGGGATCTAAGTGACAATCATCTTCACCACTAAAATATAAAGAGAAATCCTCTTCATTGTGCGACGACAGACTCACGACTTGGTGCAAGAAGAGCAGCAGCGCCTCTGGGTAGTTCTCATTTCTTCTATACAAAAGCATGTCCTTTTCTCCTCCAAGGAAGAGTCTATGCAGGCTGCAGATCTTGAAGTGCACGTATGAGCGTCAGACACTGTCCATTAGCTTCAGGCTGTTTCAGTGCTTTTGCAGGACTGGGTTCGGGGACTCACTGCATGATAGGTGGGTCAGCACGCTCTTGCTCACTCGTGCCTCAGGGGCAGTCAGCATCTTTGCAATGTGCTTCGTGTCTTTTCTGACTGGGTCTATAGAGGCCCTCCTGGAAAGTTTTCCTTAACAACCTCCTACAAGACAACGTTGTCTTCATCTGAAATATACCTCACTTCTACTTTATTTCCTGACTCTTTTTGATCAATATCAGAGGCTACCAATCGATAATTCCACATTTAAAAAAAAAAAAGCAGCCAATGATAAACTGGTTTTATTAACATTTCTAACACACAATCAAAAATATTAATATACCCTTAAATCAATTTCCTTAAATAATGTCTTAATATTAGTACTTTACTAAGATTCACGCAGGATTTCACAGGGCAGCCTGAAGTTTCTATGAAGACGAGGAAACTAAGGCAGGCACTCTTAGGTGTCAGCAAGTACATCATGGTGGTCAGGAAATGCTGAATGCTTGGACAAGTCTATGGTGGTGTGACCCAGTAGCCACCCGGATAACACTTGCTTCCCAGTGCTTACTGTGTGGCACTTTCGCAGCACCCTCCAAACATTAACTGACAGAAGGCTTTTTCATTACCCTATGACGAGGTAGAGCTATCTGTGTCTTAGAGATGAGGAACCAAGGCGCAGATGTGAAGTGCTCACAACACGTGATCAGTGTCTGTTCTGGGACCTGAGCCCAGCTGGCCCAGCTCAAAGTCACACTCATAACCTAAGGCTGTGCTTACCTCGGTCCCCACCCCACTCACCGGGCCCAGGAGCGACTTCCGTGCAGACTGGCGATCTATGGTTTTCCTCTCAAATGGCCTCTTGGTAGCTGGAAGAGGCTCGGGGAAGAAAGTGAAGACCTGGAGTTGCTCCAGAACCCTGCTGTGCTCTTCAAGGAAGATGGCGATCAGGTTTCCATCTCTGCCAGTAATTTTGAGTAACTGGAGTCCCGGGGAAGCACCAAGATAGAGGCAAAAAGAAAAAAATGAATGAAAGATCTCTGGGGGCTGGGGAGACATCTCAACAGCATAAAGCGCCTGCCTGGCAAGTGCAAGGTCCTGAGTTCAATCCCCAGTAGCCCCCCCCCCCCAAAAAAAAATCCCTGAGACTGGCGAAGTCTGTGTAGAATTAGCTGGAAGCTGAAGTTCAACAGCAGTGGCCCTGTGTAAGCTACCAACACTGTAGTCAATGCAGGAGAAAAGGCACTCTTAGCAACACTGCTCCCGGGGTACTGGACAGGCTTTTTTTGGGAATTGTGCAAAATGGAAAAAGATATTTAAAAAGCCCCGGACTTCCTGCCACCAACAAGGGTCAAAAATTCTTGATGGGCTGGGCCAAATGACACCTTTCATCTCTCTAGTTTGGGTAACTTCTCAACACAATCCTACTGTGGTCCTAGGAAAAGACCAAAGAGAACCTCAGAGACGACTCCCCAAAGCACTGAGCGACTCACGGAAAGCAGGGGCTGCAGCTGCTCCAGTGCCTGCTGCACAAAGTCGCAGTGGGCTTCGGCATAGCCATGGATGCAGTTGGCGAAGAGCCCCTGGGCGTACTGCTGGAACTTGGGCAGCTCGTCCAGCAGCTGTGCGTTCAGGGCCTCGTAGTTGTTCCGGGCTGACTGCAGCTCCTCCAGGGTTTTCTTGTCCTTCAACTTCTCTGCTCGTTCTGTGCAGTTGTAGAAGTCCAGGAGCTTGTCAAAACGCTTCTGCACCAGCTTGTGGGGTCCTGTAAACATGCTCAGTAACTGATTTAAAGGAGAGATGACAAGTCGTTCTGTCCTCTCTTTCTACAGGAATGAGAAAGCCACAGTGATCAGTTGGTCAGCACCTCGCCTTGGAGTCTCCAGTCCCCTTGCAAACCTAACTTGCTGCTCCTACGGCAACTGCTTTGCTCCGAGCACACAAGCGGGCCCCACACAGAGCTCCAGGCGTCCGCCACTGACATCCACAGACGAGCTCTCCATATACGTCAGCCAAGCATTCCCACACTAGAGGGCCTGCAGAGTATACTAATCCTTCATCTTCTTGGTAAATGCTGAGTTGTACATGGATATGCTTATATTAGAAATCAGAAGTGACAGTCTTGGTAACATTTATTTACAGTAGCTTGATTTTTCTTTTTGGGCTGCTTGGCCTTGGACCCAGGGCCTTGGGCAAGCACTTTACCACTGAGCTAATCCCCAGCCCTGTATAGCTTGATTTTACTCAGATTTATTTATTTTTTCATTTGGAAAAAACATTTTAATGACTGGATAATATATCATTTTATAGTTTAATTTTACATCTTTTAATCTAATTGAAATTATGTAAGTTCTCCATTCAAAGGAATACAAAATAACACATACCTAAGGCTTTTCCTGATCAAATTAGCACATATTACTTAGTAGATATATTTGAGATCCCGACTACGTATCGTATACTCCACGAGATACAAGTAACAAGGCTCATCATACAGTTTTTATTTTTTCTTTCTTTTTTCCTTTTTTATTTTTTTTCCATAATTTTGTTGATAAACAAAGAAAATGGAATAAGGATTTTTTTTTTTTTGCTCCGAATGCCTTCAGGGCAGGTTTGGCTGGCTGGAGTTGTGGGGATCGAACTACAGCAAACTGAGGCTGACAGCTTTGGGGAAGCAGCCACTTAAAGAACTGAGCTAGAGCCAGGCCCCCTTTACTCAGATATGGTTGTTGCACATGTCTGACATGGAATAACTTTCATCCTTCTATAATACTGTTTCTAATCATAACTTGGTAAGATTTTTTTTTTTTTCACTTCTCAAAAATATTTTTCAGCCAGGGAGATGGCTCAGTAGGATAAGCACTTGACTGGCACACGCAGGGATCTGAGTTCAATGCCCGGTTCCACCAAAAAAAAAAAAAAAATTTCGGGTCTGGGGAGATAGCTCAGTAGACTAAGCACTTACTTGCCTGGCAAGTGCAAGGGCCTGAGTTCAATCCCTGGTTCCACCAAAAAAAATTTTTTTTCCTCTTTCATTCTTATAAGAACAGATAAGCCAAACATGTGGGCACATGTCTGTAATCCCAGCACGTGGCCAGCTGAGTCAGAGGATCAAAGAGTTCCAGGCCAGCCCGGGCTACATAGTGAGACCCTATCTCAAAAACAAAAACAAGCCACTATAGGTTTTGAACCTATGATTAAATACTTTAGTAGCAGTTTTGTTTGTTTTTGAGACAAGGTTTCACTATATTGTTCAGACGGAAAGATACATTTAAGGCCAGCCTTAAATTCACTATGTAGCCTAGGCTGACCTTAAACTTACAGCAATTTTTCTGCCTCGGCCTCCTGGGTTTGGTGGCATCTAATTAAAGAGACTTTATTGCTTGAACATCTAGAAGTTTCCCTAAGTGTGCATATCTGTTTTGGCCTTGAGCCATGCAAGGTGTTTGAAGAAACTGTCACATTCTACCCAATTCTATCTGTAATCTCATACATAATTATCCAGAAATTCCCAAACCAATTTATCCTTTAGTACTTTCTACGTAAAGTAGTTTGTACTTTATAGAAATCTACTTGGAAACACTTAAAACAGAATATTTAGGAAAATATCAGCATTATCAATAGTGATGCCAGATTAATTTTCTAGTCTTCCTTTCCTAGTCTATGCTCTGAAATTAAGTTGATTACAAACTATTTTTTAAAAAAAATCCATTAATTACATTTTGGCCCTACCTGTCCCTCTACCTGAAAGTCATGTTCTGAATATAAACCCATACACAAACAAAATTAAAGGACACACTGCGTTTCTGTCCCTGTAGAATTAACTTCAGCATGAGCTGCCACTAGAAGCGACCCTGGGAAAGGCCAAGCTATGAAAAGGGAGTTGCCACAGGCTCACTTACGAAATTGGTGAAGAGCTGGTCACTAATGTAACGATGCACCTTTTCAAACTGCTCCAGGTCGCGGTGTCCCCTCTCCACACACAGGTCCCACATGCTTGAGGCGGCCACCACTTTCACACATGCCGATTCCTGAACAGGTGAGAAGCACACATCTCGCCTGTGAGAACACAGAACTCACCTTCACTTAGCCCACAGAACAGTGTGCAACAAAAGGGTTCTGTCACAGATTTTCCTCTCTGATGTACTATTTCAGCTTTGAAATAAGAACACTCTTATAAACTGATGTGAGGCAGAGAGAGACTAAGACTTTTAATTACAGAAAAACGGGCAAGGGCTTTCATCATCTCCTTAGCATTTCTCTCTGCCTCCTATAAAACAGGCTTTCTTAATTTACCAAAAGTAAATTCCTCGGTTTCTGATCTATGTCACTAGGTCTAGGGTACTGGATTTGCTTTTAAGGGTATTTTTGTTGTTGTTTTCTCTTTTCAATTAGTACTTGTTTGCAGTACACAATAATTACATTCATTATGGGGAGTACAGAGAATGTTGTTGACACTCACCCGGATATGCTGGAGGTAGAGGGATAGGTCTCGGATAAAGGATTTAATCAATCTTTCTTGCATTCGGAAGGTCTTTTCTGTTTCTTCAAATACCTCATCTTTTATCTGTTCAAAATAAACAAGTGCTGTAAGCAAATTTGGATTCTTCCATCTATCTTATTGGTAAAATTATCCTTGTCAGAAATATCTTCCACTTAGATGTGAAACTATTCATGTCTCTCCATATTGAATTGAACCTAGATACTTCTCTGTGGCTTTTAAAGACTGCAAAAGACATGGCCCTGTCCTCCCAACCATCTTCCCCTCGGCTGCTGACATGAATCCTGTCACTGGTCAGGCTTCCCTCTTCATTTCCGGCATCACCACATCTGCTGACCAGCGCTTTGACGCTCAGACAAACGCTAAGGCCAGCGAGAAGCTTGCTCTCACTGAATTCCGCTTTTGCTAAGCACTACAGCATTCAGAAACGAAGTGTAAAACTAAGCCACTGAGACTCTTCTAGCTGGCATCTCCACAAATCATTATCCCGGGCAGCATGAGACGCAGTAGGATGAAGTCTGGAGGCCAGGCCTGCTCTCAGCACTGTTACTAAAATGCTTCTCAAGTCACTCATCTTCCTTTTCTGTTGCCTTACTTGTAACATAAGGTATCCTTCCTAGTGATCTCTTAAATCCCTTCTAGCTTAATATTAAAATTTTAGATTTTATCTCTCCGGATGGATTATAAGGGCCTTAGGGGTGTTGAAAACCATAAAGATGATTAAATTCCAACCAACCTGGCCTCCTCCTCTTGCATATATTGCAGGCAGCTTGCCAAGGCACTGATGTCGGGTTGGGTGGGTGGACCCACATAATCAGTACCACGGCCGTCCCTACCGCTGGCAAGGCCAGAGGGGCGGCACCAGCAGCTGCTCCACGGAGCCCTGCAATGCCACCGAAGAGGCACTGGCTGAAGGCTCGGGGATCTCACCTGCGGAGCGAAGCCCGTGAGGTGCTTCAGGTGACTGCTCACTCGGTTGGACTTCTTGATGATGGAGTGGATGTTCAGTTTGGAAATCTTCTCCATAAGGCTGTCCTCATCCCCCTTACGGTACTTGAGCACTAGGGAGGAGGTCAAAGTGGTCAGTCTTTCCGGAGGCTGAATTACATGAGCTAAGAACTCCAAAATTACACAGTTCTTTTAAAAATGGACACAAATTTGGATTAACAACCTAAATTAGAACTACTGCACGTCTGTACTTTTTTTTTGGGGGTACAAAGAAGGAAACCAAGAACCTGGGCCTAATCCAACGAAGGAACCCCCCGGCCCCCTTTTGAAAAATTTTTTTTGTCTTTTCTTTTTTGCAGGCACATCTTTAATAAGCTTATAACTGAATAGATAAAATATGAATCCAAATGGTCATTTATGAACAGATACAACACCTGAAGAACACTAGGTTGAGATTAGAGTCAAGGAACGAAGGTGGCAAAGGCGGAGGGAACCAATTGATGACTGGGATGAAGAAAGTCCTGGAGACTAATCCCTGGGCCTGTCACATCACGTCACGAAGGTATGGCCATGAATGGGCCATTTTACTTCTTTGAAATTCATTTAATAGTTTCAAGCCCCATAAGACTCATATAAATGGTTTTTGTACATGAACTACTAGGAGCTCCAGTGGCACAAAGGGTTAGTGCGCAGTACTACTAGATCTTTATATCCATTGCTCTTACATAATACCTTAGCTATTTGATTAACTACTAAATCATATTTTAGGCACAGTCTGCAGAAAAGCCTACAGATAACAACAGAAAGATCAGAAAGAAAACTGGGTAACCATACACTTAGTTGTAGAGGATGAAGATAATGTATCAGGAGACAGAACCAGGAGAAAAGGGCTTGATGGCAGAAAACTCCAAAAGCTGCTGTCAGTATTATGTATGAACGTGGATGACATGACTGAAATTGAAAGCGTGGAGAACTGAACCCAAGACCTTTTCACTGAGCCATGTTCCCAATCCTTTATTATTTTAAAATGAGATCTTACTAAGTCACTAATATGCATGACTGGGCTTGAATTTGTGATCCTCCTGCCTCAGCCTCCCAGAGTGATGAGATTAAAGGCATGCACCATTATGCCTGAGAAGAGATTCTTACCACTATTCGAGAACTGCTTTATCACTGATACCTTATTTCCAACATCCCAGAGTGGGAATTTTAATATTACTACCCTTTCCTTGCATGTTATGTATTTTTTTCCCACATCACATTTGTCCCAAATTCTACTATCATTTTTTCATCATAGCCCTATTCAACCTACCACATGCTCTGTCCATTTTTGGCACAGTAAGTCTTTTGAGCAGGAAAGCTTTCTCACAGGGTGTAGAGGTCCATACATTGTGTCAACCTGGCTAGATCACCTCTGGCAGTTTCAGACCCTGGCCAACCGCCCCCCAGAAGAGGAGGGCCCACCCCAGAGTGACGCAGCACAAAAAGGGCATATACAGGGGTCCAAAAAAGATTCAGCGTTCCACTTCTTAGGAGGAATTTTAGTCTTTGCAGTCAGCTTAGACTTTATCTCCTGGCTTCCAGTGACTTTTCCAGGAGACTCTTTGGCCTCCGGCTTGGTTCCTTCAGCTTTCTGTCACAGATTCTTCAGCCTTTCATCCCTTCCATCACAGACCCATCACCTGACTGATAGAGACTTACACAAAACACTGCAGTGAGCTTCCGACCTTGGACTGAATCCTTCAGTCTCAGGTATGTAGATGCCCTGTGCACGCTTCTTCATCCGACTCTGTGGGTGACCGTCATAAGCCAATCTTATAATGTTTTTACATTTGTACGTCTCGTGTTATATCTATTCCTCTAGTAAAATCCTGACTAATACACAGGGCATACCTCCTTTTCAGCAATTAGGCTTTTCTTACCCAGATCCTTTCGACGTTTATATTCATTAATGTTAACGTTGATTTCCTTGACAGCAAGGACCGCGTTGGCTAAAGGCACTTTATCTGGATGGAGTTCTGGGGTGGAATTCAGCAACTCCATTAGTAACAGTGGGTAGCGCATTACTCTCTGTACAGGTTTGATGAGGAAGGAGCCCAAGTTAATGTAATTGGTGCATCCCCTGTAAGAAAAGGCAAAAAAGACTTCAGTCAGCTGTCAATAATAAAGCTCTCTGGATTCTACTCACTATTTCTAAATTAACTGTTCTTTGACAGTTTCATTCATTCAATAAACATAATCATGAAAGGATTATGTTCTGAAAAATAGGGTCATAGTCTGAGAAATGCATTATTTGGTGATTCTGTTATTGTGTGAACATCACAGAGCATACCAACACAGGCTAAGATGTCTCCAATGTCCCAGGTGATACAATCTTAGGGGCTCACCATTATATAAATAGTTCCTCACTGTGTTTCATATTTGCTGGGCCCCTAACACACAGCAGGCACTGTTCTGGGGGTTGAGGATTCAATACAGACCAAAAATAGTTCTTGCCCTCATGGGAAAAGACAGGCAATAAATAAATATATAAAGTATCACTTGGTGTTTATCTTCTAGGTTTCTGTCTATAATTTAAGAAAATAAAGCTGGCCTTTTAAGGATTAGGGAAAATTCACTGACTCAAGGAGCACATACAAGAAGTAGCCAGGGGACTTACCATTCATTATACAGGCTCCTACAAGGCAGGGAACATGTGGGAATAAAACAGACAGAGTTAGAGAAAGGATGCTAGTGTTCTCACTGTCAGAGCATCACTAGTAGGCAGACAACAATCAACTAGATAAAGAAACTTCTGAATATCTATGGTGACACATCTCATCTACTAAAAAGTTATCTTCATATCCACTTGTCCAAGATTACAGCTTTATAACTTGTTTCTCCAAGACCGGGAGGATCGCACCCGATGGTCAGGAGTAAGGACTGTGTTCTTCTCGCCTATGCACTTACTTATTTGGACCAGGCTATCTTCCTGACTGCCTCTTTCTGAGAAAAATGCTGACTTAATATTTCACCTCTATAGATAACATGTGATTTAAATGGACAAAAATACAGACAGAAAGCTTAAGATCTGCATAAAATACAATGGGAACAGGGAAAGCTACATGACAGGATGAACAATAACAAATGGATTACGTTTAAAATAAGACAGACAGATGTTGTTGAAAGTCCAGACATAAACATGAGGTGATTCAAAAAGGCAGACTAGGGGCTGGGGAGATGGCTCAGTGGACTAAGCGCTTCCCTGGCAAGCACAAGGGCCCGAGTTCAATCCCTGGTTCCACCAAAAAATAAAATTAAATAAAAGGCAGACTGAAGATCTCTGATAGAGTGAGGCAGTCAGAACTCCTACCTCAGGTCGGCCAAGGAGTCCTGAAGATGCTTCTGGATCTTTTCATCCTTCTCATACATTTCCAGCAGGGAAATGGCCTCATCGTGATTCTGGCAGTAAACCTTGTATGTTCCCTCCAGGTCATCCCGGTGATCAAGAAACACAGGTCCTTTGGAGTAGACACAAGCACAGTCATCAGTAACTTTCTGGTCAGTGGCCTAAACATAAGGCACAGGGCCAAACATTAACACCAGTTAAGTCTTATTATAGGAAACAATAAGGGGCTGGGGAGATAGCTCAGTAGAATAAGTGCCTGCCTGGCAAGCGTAGGGTCCTGAGTTCAATCCCTGGTACCACCAAAAAAAAAAAAAAAAAAGAAACAATAAGGCTATTTATCAAATGAATACATTTTCCCGTAATAGCTCAAAGTTAAAATAACTTCAAGTCGAACATAGAGAGCCACATCACCGACATATTCACTTTTCCAGCCCCACACAACTAGCTCGGCTCCCTAAACCAGCCTCCAGCCCTGCTCATCTACACAGAAAGGCACCTCCATGTGGGTATGTGACCAGAACCACAGGCCCCCTTGCTCTTGCCCAACAGGAAAATGTGCCCAGGGATGAAGAAACCTTTCTACAGTAGTTTCTGTTTCTTTGTGCATAAATTAAAAAGAGGACAATAAATGCAATTTATTATACTGAATTGAATAAAATGTGTCAATGCGAAAGTCCCACTCTTTGATACAATCACACATGTAATTCTTTTTAAGGTGTTAACAACATGTATCAATGAGCCTAATTACCCCATTTTTTACCGTATTGATGAGTGATCTAAGACACTGGTAACACTGCTTGAAGCCGAGCACTTCTGAAATTTACCAGCAATAACCTAACGCACTGGGATACCCGCATCATCTAATGTAATAGGAACACGTATCTTGTTATGATGAACTCATAGGAATAAGTCATATTTTGGGTTTGTTCCATAGGGACAATGATAATGAACTCATGCTTTAAATAAATGTTAAATTTTACTTGGAAATTAGTAAAACCTAAAGATGTAATCTCGTTTTTCTGTGTCCAAGTTCGAAGGACCATGAAATGAACTGACAGACCCAGTCTTTAGCCTGCCAGGCAGCCCGCCCTGATTTGTAAGCAGACTCCTAAAGGACTGCTTCTCTGAGAGCTGCTGCCTCAAAGTGCCTGTCTCCTGACTCACTCACACCTCTTTCCTCTTGCCCTTTGTTCCTTCTATCTTCTGGCTTGCAGTGCTCCGCCAAAAACAAAACAAAACAAAACACCTTCTCATCCTTATTTCCCTTTTTGCAGCATAATCCTACCTACTGTTCCTTGTAACTATTTTCTCATTTTCTGGACATAGCTCTCCCTCTCGGACCCTGACCCTACCTCTGGGTCACCTCTGTTCTCATAGTGTGTCCTCAGGAATTCCCCATTCTTGCACAGATCAGTTTCTATGTAAGTTAAATTTATTTCCTTAATTATAGCTCCTTTCTGTGAGAGAAACTTGATGTGTTTTCATGAGCTTTACCTCCTGCTGCCATCTCACGGGAAGCCCTACTTCTGTGTCTACTCCAAAACTCAGCAGTCACTGTGGGGCTGCCTTCTTTTGGATCTTCAGGGCTAATTTGGAATTTCTGAGTCAAGGGTCTTTATTCCTACAAACACCTATTTTCCTACCTTTTTCTTTTGCATGCTTCTTTCCCAGTCCATTCCCTATCAGCAGTCTTAGATGCTTCACAACTCAAGCCACCTACGATTCACACTCAGCTTGCTGTTCTTCAACCTCCTGGGCCATGACAACTCTACGTCACTACAAACTAGCACAGCAACACTGCCAGTATCTTTCAAATTATGGGCACAACCTACAAATGAGTCATTAAATCTATGAGTCATGATCAGCCTGTCTTAATGAAATAAAAAATAAAGTATCAGAAAACACTGAACATAGTAAAATTAAGTACAGACATACACACAAACATGTATCCTGGGCCATGATATAAAAAGATTGGCTTCTATGGATTATATTTAAAACAACATAAAGTCCAGTCCTAGGTGGCATAAACTGCTCAGAAGGTACACTGTGAAAGGATAATTTAAATTGTGTGCTGTAAATTTAAATTGTGTGCTGCATTATGTGGTTAAAAAATTGGCTGAAGGGCTGGCTGGGTATGTATCTTAGCGGAAGAGTGCTCGCCTGGCATGTGAAAGGCCTTGTGTTCAATTCCCAGCACCACAAAAAGAAAACAAAACAAAAGCAGCAGAAGGAGGAAATGAACCAGGGTAGAGCAAATGTGTATGTGCTGGTATGTCGCACACTGTCTCAGAAAGCAGACCTAAAGGTACTAGTGACAATGGCCGCTACTGGTTGAGAAGAGCTGGGTGACTAGGGATACAGGGTAAGTAGCTTTTCATTAGATGATTTTTTTTTGTGTACCTTTCTAATTTTGTGCTATGTAAGTGTAATAACATAAATTAAATTAAAAGTATATTAAAGTTAGGGGCCAGCTAAATAGCTCAGTAGATTAAAGTGTCTGCAAGTAGGCGCAGGGGCTGGGGTTCAAACCCCAGGCATGTGGGCCCTGCCTCCCAGGTGCGCTGAGACTGGGCATGGTAGTGCACACCTATAATCCCAGCTCTTGGGAGGTTGTAAACAGGCAGATCACTACGAGTCCGATCTAGTAGTGAGACCTGAACACCCTGTAGACCCTTCCCTGAAATTAAAAAAAAAAAGATTATACAGAAAAATATATTAAAGTCAATTCAAACATTTTTGCTTTAAAGAGAATAAAAATTCTTAAAAACCATTAAATACATATGGAGAGCTGGGGAGATGGCTTAGTAGGATAAGCACTTCCCTGGCAAGTGTAAGGACCTGAGTTCAATCCCTGGTTGCACTAAAAAAAAAAAAAAAGGAATTTCAAAACAAGATAGGAAATCAACAATGATTGTTATATTGCATATTGCTATGTTCAAAATAGTTGCTCAGATTACCAGATATAAGCATGCAAAATGGTCAAAAAAATTAAGCATTAACTGTTCCTTTCAATAAAGTAACAGGAGCTGGGGAGATGGCTCAGTAGAATAAGCATTTGCCCGGCAAGCACAAGGGCCTGAGTTCAATCCCTGGTTCCGCCAAAGCAAAAAAACAATCAATAAAGCAACAGAAATCAGTAGTACAATTATCTTAGCTATCCTGTGTGTGTGTGTGTGTGTGTGTGTGTGTGTGTGTGTGTGTATTCCCCCCACTCCTTCTTTCTTTTCTCCTTGTTTTTCATCCTAGTTGTTCTTTCCTTTTGAGCAGTTTCTTTACCTTCCGCAATATCTACTGTACTTTCTGGGTTTTGTTTACTTTTTCAGTTTCTTACACTAGGGAGACAATATGATGTTTACAATCTGATTTATTTCACTTATATTCTAGCTGTATCCGTTTACCTATAAAAGCAAAAAACAAAAAAGCTTACATAATTCGTGACAATCTACCTCTGCTTGCGGCTTCATGAGGCTTTTACTTTGCCTTGCTCAGCCTCCTCAGACCCCACAGTGCACAAACCTCAGGTGCCTTCCTTCGAGCACATCACGGTCGGGCCCTGCCTGTCTTGGAAAGGCTGAGCCTCTAGACTCCCTCTGAATCTAGGTTCCGAGGACTCCAGGCACCACTTTTCCTGCACGTGCTGTCAACGCGTCTCATCTGGTCCCTAACTCCTTCTGTGACTTCAGACAAAAGGTGAAGGTAAGAATGACAAAGACAGAGCTGGCCAAATAGCTCAGCAGATGAAAGCTGCTGCTCAGGCAGACACAGCAACCTATTCCCTGGTTAGCACGCCAGCCCCACCCGCTCGGGCATGCTGACATGGCAACTGGCAATTGAGACTGCGCGTGGTGGCACATGCCTGTAATACCAGCTCTAGGGAGGCTGAACATAGGCGGGTCACTAGGAGTCCAATCTACTTAGTGAGACCCTCAAGATCCTACAGACCTTGTACTAAAATACACACACACACACACAAAAGGAATGATAAATGAAAAAGATGGGGTTACATGGGTATTTTGTTTTAATGTCCAATTTTATTGTCATAAATATAGAGAAATACTCTAGAAGACATTAATCTGACTATGAGATTAACAGAGGTCACCAGGCCTACTTGAAAATTCTCAGGGCTGCTGCTACCCTCCTACTATGATGGACCTTGTCCCAGACATTTCCAGGAGCTAGGACCATGGCAGCATAGACATATTTGTCACAAATCTGAAAACAAAGCCCACCAGGGCTCGCATGCCATGCTGGCCCTGCCCCCAGGGAACACTGAGCCCAAAACTGAGTCCAGGCCTGGTGGCACATGCCTATAATCCCAGCACTGGGGAAGCTGAAAACAGGAAGATCACTATGAGTCCAAGCTGCATAGTGAGACCCTGGACCAAATACATACATGAAAAGACAAAGCCTCTAGAAAGCTTCAACTGCCTTTATGAAGGAAGTACCTGCCAACTGACTGGACTGGACACAATCTGAGACAACATCTCACAGACACCATCTTGGACAGGAAGTCATCTGACCTCGGGTTACATCTGGCTAATACCAGCAGTGTGTTCCTGCTATCTGTGTTGTAAAAGTGCTTCCCAAACAACCTGCATAGGGGCTGGGGAGCTGGCTCAGTAGAATAAGCACTTCCCTGGCAAGTGCAAGGGCCTGATACAATCCCTGGTTCTGAAAAAAAACCAAAAAAACAAAAAACAACCCATAAAACCAAACCACCTCTATGAATATCAGCTGGTATCTAAGATTCATTTTTGACACAAAGGGGACCAAAGAGAAAAAGTCACTTTGGGGAAGACTATTACCTAAACCCCCCTAAGGGTCCAAATGTAAGAATTAACAAATAGTAAAAATCACAAGGTATTTACTTATTTAATCCCTTTTAGATACCAACTAACTCTCATTTCTTATAGTTTAAATAAATGATCTACAGTTCTCATTTTAAGTGCCTGAAAAAAAAAAAAATCTCAAAAGTTGAGATCTATGCTTCATCACTATCAAAGCAGGGTCACTAGGACTTTTCCAGTCACCTCAGAGTGTGCTTCTCTCCATGGTTACCTCCCTGATCCTCTAGTTAGACCAACAACAAGGCCCACAGGTGGCCACTTCTTACTGTTCCAGAGGCGTAGACACACAGCTGCATTCTGGGTAATCCTGGACAGCGGCATGAGCTTGGAGGATGACCTCAGTTTGAATGTCAGCCCCGCCCATTGCTAGCCACATGACCGCGGGCAAATTTCCTTCATTCTCGGTTCCCTCATCAGTAAGGTATGATGTAGAGTACCTAAACCTCTCAGCGTTTTCTGTAAAGAACTGGCCTACCCAGAGGGTGTGTAGGCTGTGCAGCACAACTGCTTAAGAAGCATTAACGTGGCTGCACGGTCCTCTCACACCACATAGCCATGTCCCCTTCCAGGAGACCAGAACCCTGATGCTGCTCTTTTTTTTTTTTTTTTTAAGGGAAAAAGAAATATAAATGTAAATACAGTACACAGGATAGCTTGAATAACTGCACTGCTGATTTCTCCTAGTTTATTAAAAGGAGCAGTCAATCCTCAAATTTTTTTCTTTCCTTTTTAAGTTTTTTTTTTTTTCTTGACCAATTTTGCATGTTTATATCTGGTAATCTGAGCAACTATTTTGAACATAACAATATGCAATGTAACAACTATTGTTGAAGTCCTATCATTTTGTTTAGTGAAGTTCTTAGCGTTCCTGATGCTGTTCTGATAGCCATCTTCTCCTGGGTACCTGCTGGGAAACTCTGGCCAAAAGAGTACAGTGAATAAGAAAAATGAAGGGACGCCCTGGACAACAGTTCTGGACTCCTGGAATGCACGGCTGGAGCGCAGAGCCGAATCTGCAGGACAGGTCGGCAGGGCTAAGAGGAACTTACTCTCAGAGATGTTTGCTTTGGCCAGGGTGTTCCTTCTGCCCTGATAAGCTTCCTGCCAAAGCGCCTGTTAAAACTAGATCAACATACATGACGAAGCAGGTCATCCTTTTCCATCCCTGTTCCATGACCAAAATTTATATCCAAGTGTTGCAACTGTTTTTTCTTCTACAACTTTGTTCTCATGTCTTGTGTTACAAATAAATAATCACAGATGTCTCCGATTGCTGCTGTTTTCCTAAAACTTTAGAATCAGCCCCTTTGGGTCCTGTCAGTGACTGAACTGAGTACTCTTTCATCCTCTACACTGCCACAGTTGCGCTCTGTGACAGCAAGTCAGGCAAATGCTGCTTAGTCTAAGCCAATATCGCGACCTCGTTTCTCTTTCTAGCTAGCAGTCAGTGTAGAAGCTTGCTGGGAACCCATCTGTGGAGAATGAGAAAGAAACTGGATGGGGGAGCTCTGGAAAAGGTCTGTCAACTCTCCAACGCCAGAAGGGTTACTTTCCTCTGCTGGCTGTTGCGGGAGCGCGATGGCTGTGCTCGTGGTGGCCTCTTGTAACTATGGTTTTAGTAAAACAGCAAAATAATAGATAGTGTGTCACTTCCAAGATGATGTCGTATAAGACACTGCGGCTCCTGCCCCAGGATTCCTCTAGCTCTCAGCTTACTCTGGGAGCTCACAATTCACTCAAGTCAGGACAAGGGTTCCTGTGGCAAGGAGCTAGGCCTGAGGAGTGGAGTGAGCTTGCTTGGAAGTGAAACCCTCAGCCCAGCAGGCGGCAGGCCAAGAGCCCAGCTCAGCCTCAACTCGGCAGCCTCAGTCGGAACGCTCCCCAGCCACTTTCACATTCCTGACCCACAGAGCCTGAGACTTTCCTGGGTGTTGTTTTAAACTGCTAAGATTCTATGAGATTTGTTGTACAACAATAGACTAGTAAGTTCTCCTTTCTTTAACAGTTAACGTTCTTAAAACATTTTAGACAATGATCCACACACATATATTTTAAAACATGACTTAGAATATAAATACTTGGAAAAGAAATTTATTTATTTATTTAATTTTTGAGACAGGGTCTCACTGTGCAGTTCAGCCTGTTCTTGAGCTCAATTTGTACCCAGGCTGCTCTTGAACTCACAATGATCCTCCTGCCTCAGCTTTCTGAGTGCTGGGATTACCAGCGTGAGCCACCATGCCCAGCACAGAAATTGTTTATTTAAAAACATAACTGGGGACTAGGGATATAACTCAGTGCCTGGCAAAAACAAGGTCCTGAGTTCGATTCCCAGTACCAAAAAAAAATTATTACTTATACTACATTCAAATATTTTCTACTTTATTTTATTTTTCCATAATTTTACTGAGAAACAAATAGCACTGAGACAGTTTCAAATCAAATTGGTAGGACAGTTGCAATAATTAACACAGTGCATACATTCTTCCTAGTGGTTAATTGCTGTACAAGATGCGGACTTGATATCCTATTTACAAACACCATTAGAACAAATCACTCTATTCATTAAGAGAATGTAACTATATATCTATCCTAACCACTTTGAATACACAGATACAAAATGGACATTCATCTGTATCCCCTTTTTTTTGTTAAGTTCCATTATTTGAATATTATAGGTGTATAAACTCAGCAAAATATTCTAAAAGAGTCCAGTAGTCCATAATTCTACTTATTTTACTAAAAATATATATATTGGGTGTGATCTTCTAATCTTAAGACCCAGTAGTGGACCAGAACTGTGACTCTGAAAAACATCATACTATATAACATCTAAAACTTTTAGTGCTAACGTACTTTATATCTAAAAGCAGGCTGAGATAAAAGAAGAATCAGGGGTCAAGTAACTTTGGAACTAACAATCCCACATTAAGCTCAGGATCAGAAAGGCCCCTTCCTCCACCTCACCTAGCACAGAGAGAAGGGCAGTACTCATACCTACAGCATCGCTGATTTCCAGGGCTGCTAATAATTGCTTTGAGACTTTAATCACCATCTGCATATTTCCAAAAAGTCCCTCAAAATCAATGTTTGGTACCTGAGAAAAAGAAACAAAGCATAAAAATGCATGCAAAGGTAATTAACATACCTATCACTGGTATTTGGAATATTTCAAGGACTGTACAAAATTGTTCAACATCAATTTTTTTTTTTTTTAACTTACTTTTACCAAGTTTCTTCAGTAGAAACATCCAATACTAACTTTTTTTTCTTTGCTTTTTGAGTTAGGATTTCACTGTGGAGTTCAGGTTAGCCTTGAATTCACTTCACAGCCCAAGCTGGCCTTGAACTCACAACAATTCTCTTGCCTCAGCCTCCTGATTACTGGTATTCCAGGTGTGTGCCACCACACCCAACCCAGCACTATATTTAAAGCCACCCTTTGTCCTTGATTCAACTATGTTATCATTTGGATTTAGTGTGTTCTCCAGAGTCCAAGGGTTACAGGCTTGGTCAACAGCCTGAGGAGTACTGGGTAGCGGGGGAACCTTTAAGAAGTTGAGCTTACTGGAAGGCAGAGGTTATTGGAGGGGTGCCCCTGAAGGGGATATTGGGATCCTGATCTTTTCATTCTCTACCTCATAGACAATATGTGGTAAGCAGTTTGGTTCTACCATGCTTTGCCTGCCATGATGTTCTTCTGACTTGCCACAGGCCCAGAAGCAATAGAGTCAGCCAACCGTGGATTGAAACTTTGGAAGCCATAAGCCAAAAGCAAACTTTTTCCCTTTCACATTTGTTTTCTCAGGTATTTTGTCACAGCAATGGAAAGCTGACTAAAAATTTTTTTTGCTCCTTCCTCCACTACCACATTAATACAATTTCTATGAAACCAATGTAGTTTGTAATTATAAAATGCAGTAGCACTTACAACCTTTATTTCAAACCCAATAATATTCTGGGGTAAAAGCTCCCACACCTAATGCTTCAGGTATGAAGGACCACATTCACAATCATGACAACTGCCTGTCATAGTTCCTACCTGTGCCTGCTGTAAGGGCACCATGATCCGCTCAATGCACATCTCTAGATCCCGGATGTAGTCTCTTTCCGTCTGAAGAAGTTCTTCTACCACTTTGGTTCTCTTTTCCAGCATTCTCTGCTCTGGGTTTTCGTAGGATAGAGACCCAGAAGGGGCCACCAGGGATGAAGACTGTGAGGAGAGGAGTGTTATTTCTAGAAAAGACAAGAGATAGAGTTTGTGGAGATAGAGTTTCACTTTGTTCAGGTTGGCCTTGAACCCACTAAGGAGCCCAAGCTGGCCTTGGGGAGGAGCTCTGGGTACAAAAGCAGGGTTCTTTAGTAATTTGAGCCAAAAACATTCCTGGAGAACCAAATGTCTCCCAGTTGTCAACCATGAGGAAAGAAAAAGATTTGAAGCTTAGCAAGTCATCCCTACAGAGACTTCTCTCCATGCAATACCATCTTGAGAGTCTAGAAAAGGAATTGGCTTGCCAGCCTAGTGCTGCACACCTGTAATCTCAGCCCTCTGGGAAGCTGAAGCAGGTTCAAGCACAGAATGGGCAATTTAGTAACTTGGTGAGACCCTGTCCAAAGAAAACATTTAAAAAGGCTAGTGATGTATTTCAGTTTGAAGGCCCTGGGTTAATTTCAGTGACCACACACACACACACATGCCTGCATGTTGGCCTTTTTTTGGAGATAGAGTTTCGCTTTATTCAGGTTGGCCTTGAACCCGAAGCAATCCTCCGGCCTCCTTTTCCCCAGTGGTGAGATCCCAGGCATACACTGCCATGCCAGGACAGAGCTGGCTTATTTTAAGAGAATGAATCAGTACTGTATCTATTAAGTTCCTGGCACCAGGGGTTAACAGGTAGGGCTTCATCAAGAATTGTTGTCACTTTGCAGTGGGGTGTGGTCAGTGTGTTGGGATGCACCTTCAATCACAGTACTCAGGAGGCTGAGGTAGGAGGATTGCTGCAAATTCAAGGCCAGGGGCTGGTGAGATGGCTCAGTGGTCTAAAGCACCTACTTAGAACAAGCTTAGCAAAGCACAGGGACCGCGGTTCAATCCCCCAGCACCACATGCCAGCCAGCCCCGCCCCCTGGTGGGCTGAGCTGGCCACACACACACACACACACACACAAATAAAATAAAATAAAATAAAATAAATTTAAATAAAAAATTCAAGGCCAGCTTGAGTTACACAGGAGTTTAAGGCTGGCCCGCACTAAAATCTCTTCCCCATCAGCAGCAGAATATAGCGCTAAAAAAAAAAAATGACACTGCAGATTAAAAAGAATACACATACTATGTGGACACATAATAATGTCAACTTGCTAAGGGGAAGGCAAGAATTAGGAACCCTCTATCAGAGATCTGGGTGATGGTAGGGTCACTGTGATAGTTACACATATAAAATCTGATTAGACTCCACCTATCTAAACACTATTCAAGGCTCACAACAGATTTTTTTTTTTTTAACTTGTCCTAGGAGACAAATAACAAAATATTATAAAGTTGAAGTCCTTCGATTGCAAGAAATTCTGCACAGCTAGACTGCATGCATAGTTCTAAAAGGAACATGCAATTGTTCCTACAATTATGTTATATATGAAGGATGAAAGAATTATTTATAGTTGGGAAAGAAAATTCACTTACTTAAAATGAACATTAAGTGAGCTTTAAATGCTAAAACAATATTGAAGAAAAATTCGACAGTGAAACATGGAATCTCTAGGGCACTAAGTTTCCTTTAAATCCCTTAAGACTAACCAGAAGAAAAAACACAAGTGTTCAAATTATACTACCGAGAGCTAGTTTTTCAGAACAGATTTTATTCTCAAAAAAACACTTCCTCTGCTGCCCCTTCTCTGAGGATTTAGGAATTTTTCAATGTTTATTATTATTATTATTTTTCATGTATTTAGTTCAGAGTCTACAGGGTCTTACTACGGAGATAGGACTTATAATGATCCTGTTTTCAGATTCCCAAGGGCTGGGATTGCAGGCAAGTGCCAACACGCCCAGCCTCAGTTGCCTTCTCAGCACACCCCAGGGGCAGGACCAGCATAGCACGCTGGGGATTCAACCCTGAGCCCTGCGCCTGAATAAGCAGTTGCTTTAGTCCACTGAGCTATCTGACTGGTCCTTTTTCAATTTTTTTTTTTTTTTTTGTGGGACCGGGGATTGAACTCAGGTCCTTATGCTTGCCAGGCAAGTGCTTATTCTACTGAGCTATCTTCCGGCCCCTCTTTTTCAATGTTTAAAAAAGATTGAACCCGGCACTCTGGTTTCTAGAAACCCTTCACTAAAAGGAAGCAGAGTCTTTGGAAAAATGGCTTATCTCAGGGGTAGGGCAGGAAAGAGTACGAGCCTGAAATATCTCAAGGAAGAAAGCAAGAAGTCCTGAGAGCAAGAGGGGACAGGCAGCACTGGTCTAACTGGACCCAGCTTGAGTGTTAAGGTAAGCTCCAGTAAACACGGTAAGGAATTATAATTCATTGAATAAAGTAAGAATCCATATAAATTCCCACTCAAAATACGTAAATGAATAAGTACATGGGTAGAAAAAGTCTCTGTCTTATGACAGAATTGTCAACTCAAATGTTAGAAGAAAATAATGAAGTTAAAAAATAACCATTTTGGGCTGGAGAGATGGCTCAGTGGTCTAAAGCACCTACTTGGAACAAGCTTGGCAAAGCACAGGGACCTCCGTTCAATCCCCCAGCACCACATGCCAGCCAGCCCCGCCCCCTGGTGGGCTGAGCTGGACACACACACACACACACACGCGCGCGCTAAATAAATGTTAAAAAAAAATTAAAAAAAAATTAAAAAAAAAAAAAGAAAATAACCATTTTGCAACAAGAATAAAATTTGGTTCAGGTATAAATTGTCAATTAAAAAAAAATAAAATTGTCAATTGATGATTTCTGTGTTATTGGGGGATTGAATGGTGATTAGGGTATATGTATAATTTTAAATTACTTATTACAAATAAGAAAAATAATGACTATAAATATATTAAGAGAAATGAATGACATCATGACGCAGTGATCATACTACAAACATCATGAACCTCCAAACCAAATATCATGTCTGAAAACAATACAATATCTTTTATACAGTACACCAATCACAAATGTATAATTTAATTTGAATCCTGGTTGCTTTGTCTGAGGCAGGGTCTTGCTGTGTAGCTCAGTGCTTGTCTTGAACTTACCAGGTAGCCCAAGCTGACCTTGAGCTCAGATCTTCCTGCCCCAGCCTCCCCAGTGCTGTGGCTTAAAAGGAAATCTTTTTTTTTTTTTAATGAATCTTGAGGAGGGGCTGGGGAGATGGCTCAGTGGAATAAGCGCTTCCCTGGCAAGCACGAGGACCAGAGTTCAGCCCCCAGTTCCGCCAAAAAAAATAATAATAATAATCTTGAGGAAACAACAGACTCAAATCAGGGACTTATAGTCTTCAAAATGTCATTTTCATAAAACACACAACATATATACCTTGGAGAGCAGCTTATAGTTAGATATAACCAAAGCGATAACAACTAAATGTTTATTGTCATCTGTCCTGGACTGCAATTTGGAGGAAAGAATTGCTAAAAAAGACACAACTAGGACAACTGATAGAGCTAGAAGAAAGGGTGGAGATTAGATAAACAGCTGTAAGTCAATTTTGGACCTCCTGACGTGGCCAACGCACTGAGGATGGCCGTGGAAGAGCACATCTATGTTCATGTAGAAGACACACTGGCGAGCTGGCAAAGCAGTTGCGGCGCACGTGCAAGGCTCTGCATTTGATCCGCAGCACCCAGACGTGTACACTGAAGCATGCAGGGTATCTCAGGTCATGGAGAGGGGCAAACAAAACAACAAAGCCCCTGAAGCAAAGCGAGAAAGAAAGAAAGAAAACGAAAATGTGGCAAAACATTAAGCACTGGCAAGTTAAAGGCCATACCAGGAGGTTCTTTATATTTCAGCAATTTTCTATAAATTTGGTGTTGTTCAAAACAAAGTTTACAGAGGCATAATGGAAAAATATCTTACTTGAATTTTTGGGTAGAACAAATGGCAAAACTTCATGTATAACTGTCATGTTACTACAGTGCTAAATTATGATTCTCAGTTAATTGTAATGGAGAATACACACTTTATTTCTTGCTGTGCCGAGGTTGGAACCCAGGGCCTCCCCCATGCTAGACCACCACTCTACAACTGAGTTATATCCCCTAGTCCTACAAATTGATTTTTAATGAATGAGCTTTAAAACACCTTTATGATTTCAAAGCCACAGGTTCTTAGTCCCAAATATAATCTTGTAGGGTCAAGTTTTTAAAAAACCCTCATTTTTAATACAAGACTAGAAAACTCTGGGAAAGGAGAACATTTGCTGAGTCCATACTGCATGTGAGATATTTAGAACTCTATCCCTAAACTCATTTAATATTCACACCAGAACTCTAAAGCAGCTATTTCTCCCATTTAACATCAGGAAATGCAGCCTCTACGAGGCAAACAAACTTGTCCGAGTTGAGGCAGCAAGTAATCATAGTTTTGGCATTATGACCTAAAATATATTCAAATCCAGATCCCATGGACCGAATCCTGCTTCATTTTGCTTCTGTTGCCTAGAATCTTAATTAGAAAAGGCAGCAATTTATTTGCTTCAAATCTTAAAAATTTCCTGAAATTTTCTCCCAGAAATCAAAGTTGTATTAATTACAGTTGCTGAAAACACAAAACACCACCAAACACCTACTCATCAATCAGAAGCCAAAAGTCTTTATGGAGAGAAAAACATGTTTATGTTATAAGAAACTCAAAAAACAACTCTTCCAAACTGCCCACATCTCTCTCTCTCTCTCTCTCTCTCTTTTTTTTAGATGGGATTTATAAACTCCTGAATAGCCTTTAAAACCTTGAAAACACAAACCCCAACCCCCTGTAGATTTTTTTTCCCTGTACACCAATCGTGAGAATCTGATTGTTCAAGTCAGATCCTATTTGAAGAACCTGGGTATCTGCAATTTTAACAAATCCCCAGGTGCTGCTGAAAAGACCTAAATTTCAGACTCTGTAACACAATTAACACTTCAAAGTGAGTTTTCAAGTACAGTATTAGGCCAAAAAAAGAATTATCTGGCTGAGCTGTAAAACTTTTTCCTTTGTTTTACATACATGCTAAGAAAAAAAGTCTGATCTCAAACTTCAGT